TGTAGTATGTTCCCCATAATAAAACCGTATCATATGATTATACATTGTAATTTGTCAATTTGCCCCCCCCCAAGTGGCACAGCGGCATATCTGCGGATTTACAACGCTAGAAACCGGGTTTCGATACCCGTGATGGGCAGAGCACAGAAAGCTCATTGTGTAGCTTTGTGCTTAATTCTAAACAAACCAAATTTGTCAATTTACTATTAGGTAAAGTTCATTACAAACATCATAAGCTCTGGCTCGTTTTCTCTTGTAATTACATTTGAATTCCTGAAAATAACCATTAATTGTTTGAATCCATGTAGAAAGAAGACTCAAAGTACACAATCTAATATACTTTGTAAACCGGGATTTAAGGAAAATAGAAGTTAATACAAAGTTAAATAAGAGAAGAAAAGCCATATCCGCTACAAATGTACATAAAAATTCTAATCTTTTTTTTTTTTAAATGGAGGTTTAACTTAACCTAGAAATAAATGTAAAAGTCAAATACCTATTTCTTTGATTTCAATTTAACAGTATTTGTTTTCAATGGCGTTACAAATTTATCACAAATAAGCGGTGAACAGTTATTTGTTAGTTTGTACTACTTCCACCAGGGGACATCGAAACCCCATACTTAGAGTTATAAACTATCAGACTTGCCGCTGAGCCACCAGGAGACCTCTATCCTAATATAATGGTAGTTACAAAACATCGCCGTTACACGTGTACATGTTTTTTTTTTCTGTATTTTCTGTCCCCCCGCTGGGACAGCGGTAAGTCTACGGATTTACAACGCTAAAATCAGGGGTTCGATTCCCCCTCGGTAGACATAGCAGATAGCTCGATGTGGCTTTGCTATAAGAAAAATACAAACACACTGTATTTATTTGTTTGATAGATTTTTTTGGAAATTGGTAGATAAAGAAAATATTGAGTTATAAACCGTTTTCAGCATAAAACTTAACTGGTTTCGTAAGATCCCTATTTTCAGTTTTGATTACCTTATTACCTGAATGTATTTCTAAATATAAAAGGTTAAGGTACACACTAAACGCGTGGAAGCCTTGCCGCACCATATGTGTTGTTGCGCGGATCAAAGTAGTGTGGGCGCCCTGAATTCGATCCGTTGACCTTCAGTTCCCAAAACGGATATCGAGACGCCAACGTATTGAAAAAATATAGAAACACTTTTAATGTTCTTTTGATAAACCTATAATTATCAGAACTTCAAACGAGCCCATATAAACAGCAACATTAAAAACAAACCTTTTACGTTTCTATGCTTGTATGCTGAAATATATTTTCAGATAACATAGTGCAGACCGGAGTGTAAACATGTTTTATGAAGAGAAATAACCAGTATCCAGTAAAAATTCTGATTCCTCAACGTTTCACCTTATGGCTTATGTTCAATAGAGTGTATTCTTCTTGATGTAGCCGTAAGGTAAAACGTTGAGAAATTGAATTGATACTGGTTGTTTCTCTTCACAAGACATTAAATATCTATTAATTTTCTAGAAATAAACGACCTTATAACATCAAAATGTTGTTATTATTTACTTAGACACTCAACGTTTCGCTTTACAGCTTCTTTGGGGGCGTTCACTAAAACACAAACCAAAACTGACAGTACAAAGCTTTGTGAGCGTATAATGCTATTCTACGTCCTAACGTTAAACCTTTTTACAAACTTTGATATAGCTTTATGTTTTTATACAAAATATCTACTAAAGTATATTTACATCCGCTTTTTGTTTACATTCGTTGAAGTGAAGTGCGCGCGCATTTTCAGAACAGACAGAAATTGGGTGTTATTATAATAAATTTATGTTACTTTTTTCTGAAAATATTTTCGACCCCCCAGGGTATGACTGAGAACTTACAACGATAGAATCCGGGTTTCGATACCCGTTGCGGGCAGAGTACAGATAGCCCATTGTGTAGCTTTGTGCTTAACTACAAACAAAACAAAACAAGCGAAAATGTTTTCAATAAAATATTCTTGTAATAAAGTACAACAGTTAAAACTAAAAACTTAGTGGTCAAAGATTAGACTCCCCCTGTATTAGAATTAAAGCTCAAAATGTAGAAAATAATTCAAGTTTCCTACTACATTGATCTTTATGTTCGAAAAACTAAATCTCGTGAGCTGGAATGAGACTAAATGACATAAAACCATATAGTAACAGCACGATTTGATAATACGTAGTTCTTCACACTATCAGAAAAAAAAGGTTTTAAGCCTTGTGAATAAATTTGTTTTATTTTACTAGACTGTAAACGTACGACGACAACATCTGATGAAAGTTGCTAATGTTTTCCCTCAACATTATCCTAATGTTCATTTGTATATAACAAAGTAAAGTATTAAACAGTTTCATTTAACGATAAGCTCGCAAAATAAGACGTTGCTTTAGCTAAGGTCAAATCAAGGTGAACTCTCTAGTCGCTTACACCCCATATATATATTTTTGCAGAATTCTTGATTTGATCAGTGTACAAAACACACGACTAGAGTTAGATCAAGGTGACTCAAAAAAAAGACGAGCAGAGTTTTACAAAATTACTTTCAAATAAAACTTTGGATAAACACCAAAAGAGTAACAGTCATACTCTTCTTTAATCAACGATTCTCCTTAAATCATTTGTAAATTGTTTCTTAACTCATCAAAAATATGACAGACCTAGAATTTTTAATTCTGTGATTATTTTTAATCATTTGCAGTTAATTTCTTCCAACGTCAAAAGCTT